ACAAGAATGTCAAGTTAGTCTCTCTTCATAAAAAGCAATTAAGATTTGAGGACATTTCATATTTGCCTCTTTTGCCAGCACTAAGTCAGCCTCATCAGAATCTTTCCATTTCATCAGAAACATCAATTCTCCGCTGCTGTCTGTGGTGCAAATTATTCGTTCAGAATCAAGACCTCTAGCAAAACCTCTGGGCTTGTCAGCAGCATCTCTTCTTTTCTTTGACTTGCTGTCATCAGATTCACTGTCAGATAAAGATTTTCTTTTTGTACCATCTTTCCTTTACCAGCTCTTTGTGAGTTAAGAAATGCTTCAATTAACTCTGGACAATCTAAATATTCCTCAGGTTCCCTTGTATTGTCAGCATCTGTAAATCCCTTCCACTTCAGAAAATAACACCTTCCCATTCACTACATGTTGGTCCTGTACTTTTTCTACCACGAACTCTTCAGGCTCTGCTTCCTCAACTTTTTTTACTTTTTCCATTTTGCTTCTTTCCGATTTTTTGCAATGTAGTTTTATTGGAGGCCATTTTTTTATGGCAGACTTGAAAAGCTATTATTCAGCTCCTCGGATGCTAGGTCACAGGTCCACAGTCTTGGTCTGCGTGCCTACAGCTCCTTCTTCTATAGCACTTTTTTCTTTTATTTTTAATGAATTTTAGGACAGGGTCTAGAGGGTGTACATGGTCTTACTGCATAGCTCAGACTCGTAATCTCCTGTTTACAGCCTTTCAAGCACTGGGATTACATGCACCCCACCACGCCCAGTCTCAATCACCCTCTCAGGGAAGGATCCAACCCCAGCAACTGTGCTCCCCCGAAGCAGGTGCTTTAGTCTGCTGAGATATCTGGCTGGCCCTAGCACTCTTTTCTCAAACACTCTTTTCTTCAATTTTTTCCTGATCTATTTACAATATCATTCTAGAGATTGTGACATATGCATATTAAGGCCCAAGTGGAAAGAAAACAATTCTTAAGTAAGGTTTACAAAATTCAATCAATTAAAAGGGTATGATTCTTTACTTTCTGCAACTTGCTAAAAAATCTAAAGGACTGGGTCATGCAACTAGTTCCAATTCTTCACTCTGCCCTGCCTCTGCACTCTTTACAATGTGATATCTTGTCTTCTCCTCTTAAAGAGTAGAATCTCTCCCCAACTTCTTCAATCTGGAATGGCCCTAGGACTTGCTTTGGCAAATACATCTTGGAACAGACTGTGACAGTTGTGCCTAGAACTGTATCAGTAGTCTTTTTGCATTGCTGCTTGCTTGCTTGGAAACCCACTGTGAATTTTTGGATTAACTTGGACCAGTCTTCCACACAACAAGGAGCAATAGGGCTGTCACCCTCGTCAGTCCAACCAATAGCAAGTCAATCACTGGAAATGTTTGCCAACGACCTAGACAATACCATCTACTCAGTCACAGGCTGACCATAGACAAGAGAAGAAGTGTGCAAAGAACAGCCAAGTACACCCAGGTCAGCATAATTTCTCCAGTGACCCATGTACTCGTCTACATTAAATTGTGATAGTTGCTTGAAGCCATATGTTTTAGGGTCGCTTGCTGAACAACGATTCAATAATTAATACACAAGGTACAATTCCTTGTTTGCTTCCTGTCTTAGACTGATTTGTGGTACTATAATAGAATATCACAGGCTGCATAAGAAATAAATCAGGCACACAACCTAAATAGCTCATGGTTTCTCTTATATAAGAAACAAGAAATAAAGAGCAAACTAAAAGGTAATAGGAAAAAGGAGATAAATCTTTTGCAAAGGGAGAGTGGATCAAGAGATGAAGGGGATGAAAAAAATTCAGTGCACTATGTGAAAGTACAGACTCCTCATAATGAATGTAATTATTATCTACTACAAGCATGTACTTTAAAAATCTTTTAAATGGAAAAACTTTTTAAAATAAAAATAGGGGCTGGAGAGATGGCTCGGTGGTCTAGAGCACCTACTTAGAACAAGCTTAGCAAGAGCATCAGGGACCGCGGTTCAATCCCCCAGCACCACATGCCAGCCAGCCCGCCCCCTGGTGGGCTGAGCTGG